CTGCAGGTCGAAGGTGAATGTTGGTGTCGTTAGTGTGGTCGATCAGCTGATTCGTCCAGCTCGTCATGTCTTCTTGTATTTGACCCACCTTTTGGCGTGTATACTCATCAGTATCCCGAGACCGTTGGGAATACCGATCAAGCCGATGCTCGCATGCTCGGAGACGGGCGCTTTGTGCCTCCACCTCGCTTTCCAGACGTGCGAGATAACTCTCAACACGTACCTTCTCAGTATCTCTGTCATGAATAACCTGGGAGAGCTCTAACTGCGTGTGGTCCGCCGCCTTCTCAACCTCCTGCAACCTGTCAGTGAGGCGGGCGAAATCGTAAACCGTGGGAGGAGAATCCAGCTGATCAGTCTGGGCTCGTCCGACACGCAACTCTGCCAGGGCGTCCTGTACACCAGGGAAACGCTGCTCTATGTCAGAGATCCGGTTAGCGAGTGGCTGCACGACAGCGTTGGTCGCATCAAGCCTTTGAGTGATGACTCTCTCAGTACGCTGCAACATGTCGATCAGGTTCGACGAGTTTGTGTGTGCTTCGGTACGAAGCGTCGCCGTAGTGTGGTCTAGGTAAGATCGAAGATCATTGATCTGAGACTGAACGTCGCCGAGGTCTGTGGCCTCGGTTGGGGTTGGTCGGTTACGGAGCTGGTCGTGGATCTCATCGTGTAAAATCCTGACCGCAGAAATGCCTGTGTCGCGTACGATCACAAGTTGTTGCTCCATCTGCGCGAGATAGTTGCGCAGGTTCTCGACCATCGCCGTTCGTTCACCTGAGTGTGACACCTCACGATCAACCTGGTACTGCAGTTCTCCTATGATGCGTCTATCTTCGGCGATCCTGGAATCGATGATCCCTAAGGCGCCGTCAAGATCGCGGCGTATGGCTGCAGTATCCGTGGCATTCGTCTGAACGCTCTGTAGTAGTCCAGAGTATTGGCTGGACACGAAGGTTTCAACCTGGTCTCTGAGCTCAGCTATGTCACCTGCGGCGGACGTCTCCGCCAGCTGGTCGTCTGAGATGGAGAGGTGGGGAGCGTCAGCTTCCCTGTGTCCCCTGTCGCGGGGAGTGCATGGCCTCTGAGAGGCAGTGCGCGGGCTCGACCTGCTCTCGCCGTATGGGCCTGGGGCTCCACGGCGGTTGCGCGCGGACGAGCTGCGACTCGGACCATGTGTGTGCGATGTCTCATCCGATGATACCTTGGGGTACCGCGTCTGTGGCTGTGCCGACACTGGTCTACTGAGTTCCTCGAAGGTAGCTACGTGCTCCGCCACAGGGACGGTCGCAGGGCTGGGGGTTCCAGCACCTGAGGTCCATCGGCGGTTAGCGCGGAAGCGCCCTGGAGTATCGAGACCGGCAAGGCTTTCGCCTGACGCGGTTGGGATTGCTCCCGACGGGGAAGGGGAGGGAGGATCAAAGGTCGGCGTGTGAAACTCCTTCCTTCCTGTTCCTACTCCTTCTCCTGTCCCCCCGCGGGCGGCGCTGCGGCGAAGTTCAGCAGCTAGACGCGCCTCGGGTCCTCGGGAGCTGGGGGGGGGTATCGGGGACACCAACACAGTCCGCACTAATGCTCTCCAACTCGTCACCGAGCCGTCGCACCGTGGGAGAGCTTGGACGCGAAGCCCCAATGGAACCCTTACGGCGCATGCGCCGAAGCGGCTCCATTGGGCTCGCATGCAAGGTCACCGCGGGCGAGTCGGTGAAGGTGAGCGTTAAAGGGCTGATAACCTGTGTATGGGGTTGAAGTACAAGAGTACAGAACCCCTGATCCGTTGGTAGAGAGATGGAGGGATAGATGGATATCTTTCCCTCCCAAGCGATCAAGGTACGATCGCTCCAACTCAGTACCTGAGCCCAAACGGCCAGGTGCGGGAGAGGTAAGGATAAGGAGTATATATGAGGGTATTACACGGGTTCCACACACAGTTTGCACCAGATCGTCAAGGTTTCAACGTCTGAAACAGCATCAGAGCCATAATCTCACCTCCAGCTGGATGAGTGTACCAGGTCAGACCTACTCACAGGATCTCTGGCCAGAAGGCATGGACGAAAAGGAGAGACAGCAGCTGGAGAAGTACTACGTATGCATGCCCGAGGAATTCTACCATTTCAGTGGCCTGATCGTCATCACTCCAAACAATGCGGAAGAGTTGGTGTCAGCAGATATCCAAGCATTTCACGATCTGGACTTTCTCGAGAGCATGAGCGGCTCTGGCAGGCTCTCGTTGTGTGCATACATGTCAGGCTTGGCGATCATCTTCCCACGAGACTTCAGGTACGGCTGGGACCTGCGTCGCAAGACTCACCGAGACCTACTCGACAAGATCGACAAGGTTCTGACCAGCCTGGCAGAGTTCTGGTCGCCTAGATGTTCACCATGGTCGGCATCAACAGTCATGAAGGAGGCCTCGAAGCTCCAAGCACCTCGCCAAGCAGAATGTCCCAACTTGCACTGGATTGCGCAGCGGCTTCGAAAGGTACATCGAGATGGACGAGCAAGTGTTCTCGAAAACCCAAGGAGCTCGGTCATCCTCAAGCAGTCGCCGCTCAAGTCTATCGCTCCACTGGGCACATTCGGACATCTTGATCAATGTCAGCTTGGAGCAGCAGATCCATCTACAGGAGTTGCAGTAAAGAAGCCGACCTTCCTGCACATGATCAACATCACCCTGCAGCGCGTCCTGCATAAGTGCCAGGGCGACTCGAAGTGCAGCGAGCACTCCGTACTACAGGGCTCATTTCCAGGCACCAACATCAACAAGACAGCTGCGGCGGCTGTCTACCCGTGGCCGATGGTGACGGCCATCATTCATGATGCACACGATTACCTAAAGACTGGAGTCATCAAGGACGGCGACGAGTCCTCGCTGTTCTACACGCACCTCTGGAGTTGCGAGAGGTGCCGACACGGACTCCACAAGAAGCTGGCCGACAGCACCAACACGCCTACGGCGCCACACACACGTGTGGCAGCATGCAGGTTCTCGCCGGGACGCGCAGGTATACCACCTGGAGGTGTTCCTGTTGCAGCAGAAGGCGCACCTGCACCTCCGCCTGGGCTTCACCCGCCTCTACCGGGTGTGGCCCCAGCAGCCGCGCCAGCAGCCGCGCCAGCTGCGGCACCAGCTGCACCAGCAGCTCCTCCAGCACCAGCTCCTCCTGCCGCAGGAGCTCCCGCAGCAGCAGCAGCGGCACCCGTAGCAGAAGCAGTCGAGCCTCCTCCTGAGGCCGTGGCTCCACCGACGTACATCGAGCCAAATTTCGATCTCAAGGCGGCCAAGAAGGTGCTCCGAGATCCGAAGGCCTCGGTCAAGGAGAAGAAGGCCATCATCATGGGCATCCATGTCAAGTTCTGGCATGCTGCAGCCATGGAGCTCAAGAAGATGCTCTACCGGGCTGGCTATGGCAAGGAGGTGCTCGACCTGGTCGACAACGTGATCGACTGCTGCAAGGAGTGTGCTACGTGGAAGCGGAAGCTCACTCGACCGCAGGCGAAGGCAATGCTGGCCGAGCATTTCGACTACAGGGTCTAGACGGACCTCTTCTTCATATTCGACAAGACCTTCATCGTTCTGGTCGACGAGTGCATCCGCTGGTGCTTGGTGGAAGAGCTTCCACGCAAGACAGCCGACGAGTGGATGGCCGTGGTCTTCAGGAGCTGGATCAGGTACTTCGGCCCGATGACCTACTTGGTCACCGACCAGGAGGGCGCCATCACGAGCGACCTCGTCGGCAAGTTCGACATCGTCCGCGACTTCGGCGGATCGCAAGGGCACACTGCCGCGCCCATCGCAGAGAGAAGGATCGAGGTCATCCGTACAGGAGCTCAGAAGCTGTGGGCAACAGTCCAGAAGACGTGCCTCAACACGACGCAGAGTCAGGTGGTCTGTGAGACCGCGATGTCCTCCAACAGCATGCTGAGCTACAACGGTCACACGCCCAACCAGGGCTTGCTGGGCTACCAGCCCAGAGAGCTGTATGATCCTGAGGTCAAGACGCTCTCCGCCGCTGCCGGAGCGCTCGAGACCGCTCCAGACGCCATCGAGGTGGCCATTCGCCTGCGCATGATGGCCAAGGAGGCGATCTTGCAGAGCATCGTCGAGGATCGTCTGGCAGTGGCCCAGAATACCAAGATGCAGAAGTTCAAGCCCGAGGACCGCGCGAAGATCATAGACGGCGCGAAGGCCGATCTCTGGCGCGAGCCAGACTCCAAGGACGATCCAGGCTGGCGTGGACCCTGTGAGGGCGTCAAGGTCTATCAGGACGGCTCAAAGGCAGTGGTCGACTGGAGAGGCCATATCATGCTGGTGCCCATCAGGCACCTCCGCCCACACGTGGGCTTCGTGTGGCTCCTGCATCAGAAGTCCCACGGCGGCCATGTCCACGCCGTGCAGCACGAGTTCAACGACGCGTTCATCATTGCTCCCCTCTCCATCCTCATGGTCATCATGTGTGTGAGGGGCCACGAGACGGTGGTGCAGCTGAAGATCCTTTCCTGGGAGGGGGTCGGTCGTCCCACCGGCGCCGGGCTGCACGCCTGGCCAAGGAAGCCGCGGCGGCTGCCGGGGCTCCACAAGCCCCGGCCGCCCATGCAGAAGTTCCGCCTGGCCGCAAGCTCCGGGTGGCCACTCTCAACGTGACCTCTGCCACCACTGCACGCATCAAGGCAATGCTGGAAGCAGAACTGGTCGAGTCTGCGGACATCATCTGCTTGCAGGAGGTCCGCCACACCACAGTGACCCCACGCTGGCTCATGAGGCTGGCATCCCAACGGGGATGGGGTATAAAGCTATCGACGCCTTCCCCCGTGGACCAACGGGGCATGCACGTCCAGGGCGGCACCGCCATCATGTGGAGGCGCTCCCTGGGGAAGGTCTCCACGTACGCCCACCCGAAAGACCATCGACTGGTGGGACTCCTGTTTGCGGAAGTGCAGTCGTTTCCGCCTACGGGCCGGCTTCACGCCCGCCCCTCGAATGGGTCGATAAAGTTGCGCAGTGGATGGACGAGAAGTTCCACGACAAGCCGCAGGTGCTCATTGGGGACCTGAACTGGAGGGAGATGTACCGCCAGCTCGTCGCCGACGCCTGGCAGATCGCCGACATGCCCTCCCCAACCACACATGCGAATACCAAGCCTACCCGGGGGCTGGCCCAGGGCTGCTCCATCCAGGCCGCTGGAGTGGAAGCCGTGGCCGGTGTCCCGCACCACAAGCTGGTTCTCTTCGAGGTGGACGTGCCGCTGCCGCCGCGGCCCGCCCAGGAGCGCCTCAAACGTACAGCTTTCTACACTTGGAATGACAATGCTATTATGCTCCCGGCCGATGCGGGGGACATCGAGTCCGCCGTCGATGCCGAGTACCCTGTCCTGGAGGCCTCGTTCCCGCTGTTGGACAGGTGGAAGCGGTGGCACGCTCGGGCTGAGACTGTGGCCCGCCTGGCGTGCAGCCGGGACTTCATGGAAATGGCTCGCACTGGGGAGCGGCCGAAAGCTTCCCCGCCCGAGTCCCGCCGGTGCGCCGATTCGGCCCAGCACCGGGTGGATGAAGCGATCACTCTTCGACAGCTGCGGCGGCTACACCGCCGGTTCACCCACGGGAAGACTGCGGGGGTGGACTCGGAGCGCCTGTCACCCAAGCACTTGCACGACTTCGGCGTGGCAGCCTGTCAGGGAGCCCTCCACGCAAAGTGGTCCGACGCCCCGCTGCTGTGGCCGACGTACGCCGCCGCAGTCGACATCATCAATGCCAGCATCACCAAGGAGGAGCGGAAGGGCACGGACGCCCGCGGCCGCCAATGGAAACAACGCTTCACCGAGATCACTCGGGACACTTGGGCCGCCGCCGGCCCTGTCATCAAGCCGGGCCCCGAGGCGCCGACCTTCACCCCCGACTCCATGCGGGCGGAGTGGGAGCCGATCTGGAACCCGCCAGACTACAACCCGGAGACCATCCGGGCAGCTTGGTGCACCTACGCGGACAAGGCCGTCTTCCCGCACTGTGGGGTTGCGGTTGACTGGATCCCCGACTACGACGACTTCTCTGCCGCCTTCCAGAAATGCGGCGGGGCGGCGGGCCTCGACGGCTGGTCAGCCGCAGAGGTCAAAGCTTTGACACGGCACTTCGAGTTCTTGAAGATGGAGCTCTACACTTTGTGGGTGGCAACCACACGCGCCGCTGGTGACCCGGCGGGCCTCCCGGAGGCCCTCGTCGACTTCCTCTTCTGCTGGCGGGTGCTGGGGATCCCCAAGCCCAAGACCGACGCCTCCCAGCCGATCTCGGTGGCGTCATACCTCGTACGGACGTGGCTCAGTGCATGCGCGGCCATCGCGCCCCACCCAGTGGACACGCAGTGGGCCACACGCCCCGGAGTCTCCGTGGTACACGCCATCTCTTCTTGGCTGAGTGCGGCGGCGGCTGCTGACGAAGGCTGTGAGCAAGACCTCACAAAAGCGTGCGACCGAATCGACCACCTGCTGGCGACAGAGGCCCTGGATCGTGAAGGTTGGCCTCGGCACCTGCAGTGTCTGTTCAGATGTTCCTGGCGGGGCCCCCGGTACTGCCAGGTGGAGGGAGTGCTGAGCTCTTCCCCAATCCGCCCGTGCTGCAGCCTCCCGCAGGGCGGGTCTGACGCGCCGGCCGGCATGGTGGCCACCTTGGTCCCGTGGCAGCCCCAAGACGTGACACCCTTCGCTTTCATGGATGACAGGTCCATGACCGTCGGCGCGCCGGCGGCCAGCACCAAGCTCCGCGATGCCCTCGTGTACACGCAAGACTTCGACACGGCCGCCAACTTCGCCGAGAACGTTGGCAAGAGACAACACTGGACAAAGACCGGAGGTGAACGAGTTGAGCACTTGGGTATCTCCGCTGTGCTGGGCTCCCCGGAGGAGCCCATCGAGCCTCGCTTCGGGTGGGACCCCGTGCGAACGACGCTACGCCGCCTGGGCACACTCCCCGGGTCCGCCAAAGTCAGAGAGTCCCTGACAGCAGCTTACGCTTCGCCGATGTGGCTGTGGGCAGCACCTGTGGTGGCGCCGCCCCCGCCAGACATCACGCCCCTGGTCATGAAGGCCGTGCTGCGCACCGGATGTTCCTGGTGGTGCCGGGGCCGCTGGTGGGCCACCAGACTCTACCTACACCCGCTCTACGGGTCAATTCTTCGCGGACTCAAGGTTGTTCTTGATCCTGAATTCTGTTGGAGTCCCCATGTGGAGGCGCAGATACGTACCGCCATGGATCGGCTGGGGCTCGGCTTTCGAGACTACGACCATTACTTTGGCCTGTGCCTGGAGGTGCTCCCGGGGGACGACCCGCGGGTCCAGAAGGTCACAGACAGGGTACGCCAGGGGGCGCTCCTATTTCTGGACGCGGTCCGAAGAAGCGCAGCATTGCGTGAGGCTGGTGTGCCGCATTCGCTGTCTGCAGCAGTGCGCCTCTAGCCGCAACGACGTGGAGGGCGTGGAGAAGGTCGACGTGGAGGCCTCCAGCGACCCCCGGTGGAAGAAGTTCTCGGAGAGCCTGCCGGCCGACGAGAAGCAGGCTCTGAACATCTTCCGGTGTGGAGCCATACGCACCCAGACCCGCATCAGCCAGAACACCAGGTGTGCGCTGTGCGGAGCGCTCCACCCGAGTGCCCGGCACCTATGGAGCGAATGCAGTGGGATGGACGAAGAACGCCGGCTTCTTAGCCGGTTGTACGGCCTCCAGCCTACGTGGTGGACTCGTCAGCCACGAGTTACATCCAAAAGCGGATGGATCACAACCAGTGCACATCGTGATCATCATCGTCGTGTTGATATGCAGATTGCCAGTTGTCGTATGGGTATCCTCATTTGTTTGGGCCCGTTGAAGGCGCTGCTCGACTGAGAGCCGCTCCCGCCGAGCGAGAAGGACTCCTGCATCGAGGCTGTCATCCTGTCGCTCAAGCAGTTTGTGGAGTTCAACGACACGGTCAAGCAGATAATGGAGATCGTAGAGACAGGAGCGGCTTTCTCGTCATATACCTACGGTCTGGTCTATTCGAGTGCGGATCGAAGCTACATCGTCGTGCCGCCTGATCTTGAGCAGAATCCTCCGCCACTGTGGACAGTGGCTCAGATGGTTTTCACTGGAGTGCTCAACGGCACGAAGTTCGACGGCATCCAGTTCGGCAACAAGTGCAAGAGGACGGATGCCATTTCAGCAGCACAGCACGGACAACTCATCACCTGGAACAACAGTCGACGCGAGAGCTGCATGATCCACGACGTGGTGCCGGACAAGGCGCTGCCGCTCTCGTTTTCAGGCCCCTGGAAGGACGAGAGTTTCGTGCTGTATTTCAGCTACAGCAAGCCAAACGACGAGATCGAGGATACGTCCGAAGTCGACCTCAGTGGAGTTGGCGGTCCATCTCCCATTCCATGGATAGCATCACCGTGGACGTCGTTTGGAGGCTCTTGGCTCGAGGCAGGCGACGATGAAGACGACCATCGTCAACAAGGAGGAGGTCTCGGAGATCCTCCAAGGCCAGGTGGTCCGCCGCCTCAGCCGCCGCAGCCGCCTCAGCAGCCTCAGCCACCAGTGAAGGCTCCACCTGCTGCGCGGCAGCAACCAGCTGAACCAGCACCGCCAGCTCCAGCAGCGAAGCAGATACCAAGGCCTGCGGCACAGCCATACGTGCCGAAGACGCCTCCTCCAGCGAGGCGCAGGCCACTATCTCCAGACGTGTCGTTCGACGTCACACCCGAGATCGAGGCAGGCGCTATGCGGCCTCCGCCGCCGCCGCCAGGAGGAGGAGTAGCAGGCGCCGTTCCGCAAGGGTTTGCTCCAGCAGCACCACCTGCAGCAGCCGCAGGGTTCATGCCTGCACCTCCTGCGCCGCCTACGCCGCCTGCACCACCTGCGAGTCCAGGCGCGATCGACCCCGACGACCAGGCAGACACCGACATCGTCAAGCTGTCGGAATCGTCAAGCAGTTCAACAGCTACGGCAGATCGGTCAAGATCGAGAGTATTTGAGAGGGCTCCTCCACCGAAGGCAACCCCAAGACGTGCACCAATACCGGGCGAGGATGTGGCCGTTCCGAAGACACCACAGCCGGTGGCCAACGGATCAGAGGTGGCTGTCTCAGTGACACCACTGCGAGCAGCCACGCCGCCTCCAGCGGCTAAGGCATCAGCACCGTCCTCGCCAGCCAGTCAGCCTTCGCTGGACTACGACCAGCCAGAGGAGCCTATCCTGGGACCCCTGCCAGAGATACCTACCAGGAGTAAGTCACGAAGGACCATCGCCAACTACGTCAGAGTTGGATAGGTCTCGTACGAGAGACTATGGACCTGCTCCAGATCGCCGAGCCCAGCACGATGAGCACGAGCGACAAGTTCGACAAGAATCTTTAAAGCATCGACCTGCAGCATCGCCGATTGCAGCCATAACGCAGCCTCAGAAGCGAGATGCCCCAGAAGCTCCGCCTGATGATCGAGTGGCGCCTGGAGTTCGCGCCTCAGCGGCATCGGCAGTATCGGGAGCACCAGCTCCACTAGAGCCAGTCCTGCCCATCGCTGAGCCCGCCGACGTCGACGAGACTATCGACTACGGCCCGGCAACGAGCGAGAAGGTTGACGAGGACAAGCAGGAGAAGCTCGAGCTACACAGCTACCAGGTGTGGTTTGATGTGCATCATGTGGAGCATCGACTGGGACAGCCTCTGCGCAATGTGGCTCCAGTTGGCTTCAAGCCTCACTTCGACGAGGAACATTTCACACATGCTATTGCCGACGCCGAGCAGATCCTGCATTTCAGTCAGCAGGCCAAGCGAGGCGAGTTACCCTGGACAGCATCAGCGGCGTTTGCAGTACTTGAAGGCCGATGACGAGGCCCATGTGCGTCTATTACGACATTCGCGAGGACCAGTGTTTCTCGGTCTCTTCTGACGACCTCCGCACACCTCAAGAGGTGATCGACAATTGGGATGTTGTAGAGATCGGCGGCTATGAGGAGGCAGTATCGCTCTACAGCCACGATGTCTTCGAGATCGATCTGTCCTCGAATGCTACGAACGTAGTGGACGGCATCTGGGTCCGCAAGTGTAAGAATCGGCAGAAGCGAAATGTCAAGTCGAGGTGCTGCGGTCGCGGTTTCTTAGATCGCCAGAAGACGTCAGTAAACCGCCATTCGTCGACAGCCTCACGGTTAAGCCACAGGCTACTCTGCTCACTGGCCATGCAGTTCGAGTTGACCCTAGAGAGCTTCGACATCTCAACAGCTTTTCTTCAAGGCCTGAAGTTCTCAGAGGTCGTGGCCAAAGCGAAGGAGCTAGGCCATGAGGTCAAGGAGGCACGACAAGCCTGGTTTCGCCCACCGGCGAACATCTGGAGGCACTGGAGGAACATCCCGAAGAGCAAGATCACAGTGCTGGATGGAGACATTCCACACTTCATCCGGAAGTGCCTCAAGGCGCTATATGGCCTGGTGGACGCTCCTCTGTTGTGGCAGCTGGCGCTGTTGCATTATCTAAAGCTGGACATCGGCTACAGGATGAGCACCCACGACGAGTGCTTCCTGATGATCATCAATGGCTGGCAAGTTGTATCGCTATGTATCCCTCACGTGGACGATCTTCTTCTAGCAGCGACGAAGGACTTCCTCGACCATATCGCCAAGAAGCTCGGACAGAAGTTCGGGAACCCGAAGAGGACAGGCCTTCCGTTCACCTACCTGGGCATGAGGCACGAGATGCTCACCCTGGACACCTGCTGGTTCACCAGCAGCACTACTTCGAGAAGCTGCCGGAGGCCAAGTTCACGAACGCGTACAACATCAAGAAGGACTTCCAGGAGTTGGACGAGTACGAGCATCACCAGTTCAGATCGTTGGTTTGCAGTTTGCTGTTGCTATGCCTCACGAGAGGGGATATTGCTCATGATGTGGTTTCTCTGCAGTCGGAGATGGTGTGCCCCCAGGTTCAACACATGAAGATGGCCAATTGTGTACTCGCGAAGGCTCGCAAGACGAAGGACATGGACGGCCTGCACTACCATCAAGTACAGTTTCCACTGAGACTCTGCAGTATCCACGACTGCGGGCATGCGAGCAAGAAGAGCTGCTACCCGTACGAGGGCAAGTTTGTCATGATAATGCACGACGATCTAAAGATCGACACGCCCGAGTGGATCACGGGCCAGGACTTGACCAAGGTCGGAGGCTACGCGCACACGTTGTTCTTCAGTGCACGCAAGGCTTCACAAGTTTCGCACGCGACCTCGCATGCAGAGACGCTCTCGGCCATCGGTTGCACTCAGATGGGTCAGCTGATTGCGGCAAGGCTTACAGAGTTGTTCTGCCAGATGGTGCTACCTCCGCGAACGACGATTACCGCACACGATATGCTGGAGCTGAGTCAGAATGATATTACCATCAAACCGCATGATGCAGTGACAGATTGCATGGACCTCTTCGAGCTGATCACAGGCGGCCGCGGTATACCGTCTGATAAGTCACAGAGAGTTGCCATCATGGCACTTCGTGAAGATCGTGTTCATCATCGTATTCGTTCACTGTTGCACGTTCCAACCAGAATCATGCTCGCAGACGGTCTCACGAAAGAAGGTTGGTTCGATCAGCTCCTGATATACTGCACTACAGGCAAGTGGAAGATCACCCTCATCGAGGGCCAGGCAGTGCGACACCAGAGAGCAATTCAACACCCGGAAGCTACCGAGAAGGAGATCCAGAATCTTCAGGAGTAGCTGTACTACGACGTCTACTACGACATGCGTTGCAGTCGTGGGAGATCACCCGCGAGAGACATGTACTGAGTCATGTGATGAGGAGAAATGAGCGTTTGCTTGTGCGTTAGCTGCTCCTCACTCGTCCTACCTCCAGCTTCCTCGATAAAGCTCGGAAAGCACAGGAGTTTCCACTGTAGCCCACTTCCCTGATCGAGGCAATTCCTCTGGGCATCGTTTCTAGATGGGCTGGTTCGGATTCGCGAAGCGTCAACAATTCCCCAAACAATGCCTGCGCCTGCAGGTTATGAATTACGTGTATAACGGAACTGAGCTCGCTTGTCAATCGTCGTCAACATCGTCACCAGCATCGCTACTGTTATCATCGTGTCAACAATTATTGACGTTGCCATGATACCACGTCCGCGTCGGTCGCGCCAAACTAGCTGGCCGCTGCGCGCGCGAGCATGCGCGGGCTAACGCGGCCGCAGAGATGCACCTGCCAACACCAAGCACTCATCGCAATCGCTTCCGCATAAGTTTTGCAAACCAAGTTGCGTGTGAGTGGGTGGGATGCTTGCGCGAGCAGTGAAGTCGCCAACTTCAAGTTCGGCAGGGTGAATTGCACCTTCTAGAGCGTACCACCTAGATTGCACCACATAGATAGCTTAACATAGATTGCACACCATGGACTGCACAAAATATGTTGCACCACATATATTGCTTCACCTGTATTGCACCACATAGATTGCTCCACGCGGACTGCGCAACGTATACTGCTAGAGACACACTGTTGGGGCCCACTCCGGCTAACATCGGACGGGCGTGCCGGGTTTTGGGGGGAACCAACAGGTACCGATACCGCGACTCTCTGGACCTCTCCTGGGCCGCGCTCTGACCAGCACCTCGAGGCGCATCCGGCAGTGGCGACGAGGGCCTCCCAGGAGGCCTGCAGAGGGAAGAGATTGAGGGAGGGGTGGCGGTATCGCGAGGCGGGGATTTATCCATATCCACCGCCTGGGAACCGACGTCCTGGTGCCCCAGCGGGCGGTGGATATGGATATATTTCGGCCCCCGGGGGGCCGAGTATGTCCATATCTACCGCGCTCCGCAAACTGACCCTCCAGGCGGTGGATATGGAAAATTCCCGCCTCGGAGGTA